TAAGAATGCAAATTTTAATATAATCACCAATTTCCATGATTGATCACTAGTAATATTTAAATCAATCTAAACTTTCCAATCTTGAGAAAATGTTTTTAATTTGTATGCGTTTTTCTAGAGGAAGGAAACCCTCAGCTGAGGTATTGATAATGGAACAGATGTTACCAGAAAGAAAGCAGAAAAAATACTGAAGTATATTCACTAATTGAACAAAATCCTATTTAAAAAAAGGCAAGAAGTTCGTATCTCCTTTGATTCTAGTGAGTCTTTAAATAATTATAATGAACCTGTAAGTTCTAGTCAGACTTGCTGCTTGTGCGTCATTAAAAAAAATCGAACTTTAATCCTGCCAGTATCTGCACTAGTCTATACATTCACCTAATTAGCGCTTCATCGTTTTGTGCTGTTCTGGGCTTCCTTATACTTGCTAATCTCACATCCAACATTTGGAAGAGCAGTTGCTACTGGCTCATAAAATTTTTGCCATCCGTCAATGTGTGGTTTCTTTTTTCCCTTATTGAAATTGTGTTTCCAACAAGATGAGGGGGAAACTGGGCAGATCAGGACGTTCTCAATATATTTAAAATATGAAGACAGCCCGGACATTTGAAAGGCTTTAGTCAATCTATACCGACCCAGCAACACACCTATGTAATTGCTTGCCCCTCTCTCTCTCTCTCTCTCTCTCTCTCTCTCTCTCTCTCTCTCTCTCTCTCTCTCTCTCTTTCTCTCTGTCTCTTCTCCCCCCTTTTTCCCCCATCTCTGAATTTTGCTCTCCTTGAAAGCAAAACTCCCATCATCAACCTGGAAACGTGGCTGCCAGAAGAGATCATTTCCATCCAACCTTGATTTCAATTGTTTAAATGTATTCTTTTTAATTTAATTAATGATTTCATGTTGTTCTGACTTTTTGCATCCGCCTTCAAAGTCCGCATGACCTGGGGGCCCCTATCACTGCTTTCCTTCATTAAAGAAAATACTTGGAATAGTTTCTCCGGGTGCTCAACTGATTTTTAGGCTATTTCTTGTTTGCGCAGGAGAGGACATACTTGAAAATATTGGGCTTTCCCTTTTTCTTTTGGTTTTGTTCTGCAAACGGGGTTAAAAGGCAGAGCCCCCCCCCCCCCGCCCCGCAGCCTTCCGTCCCCAGTCAGTTTCTGTTGGTCAAGTTGGCAGCTTCAGAGCTAAAGGAGCCCCTGGAGGAGGGCGGTGGAGCGCCCCGCTCTCTCTCCCGTCCCCCGCAGGCAGGTCAGCGGTAACCACATTTGTGGCTGGACTCTTGCAGAGGTGGAGGCGGGGTGGGTGGTTTGCTCCTGTTGCAAAAATCAGCGCAGCTTCGGGCACAGCGGACAGATGCTGGTGAGGGACTGGGTTGTTGGAGCTGCTGAGAAGCCGGCGCTGGGCTCTAAATAGCTCAGCTTGGAGAGCAGGTAAGGGACCCTCGCTGGTGAAGGGGAGGGGGAGGAGACAGAGGGAGGGGCTGGAAAGCGCTGAGCAGCCTCTGAAGCTTGTGGTCCCCCGAGAGCTGCCCACCTACAGAGGCTACGGCTGTGTGCCCTGGGCGCTCAGGGACAGCTGGGCAATCTTCCTAAATGGCCACCTTTCCCCTCAAGCACATACCTCTCCCCCACCGCTGCCTTCTGCGCCTCTCAGGGGTTCTAGGAAGGCTGGGCAACTCCCAGACTTGTTCCAAAGCCTGGACAGGCTGGGAACAGAAGCAGCCTTGGGATGCACCTGTTGCAAAGGACCCCCATTCCACATGCCCCTCTCTCCAGACCTCCCCAGCCCGAGGACGTGGGGCCCCTGCGCCAGGGCTGGGTGGCTTCTCTTCTGCAGTCCAGGGCCTGTCTGAGCTCTCCGGATATGACCTTTAGCTACGGCCAAAGTCATGGTGCACCTCTGGTGGCCACCCCTTTTGGGGCCGCTGGTAGCCTTGTCGGGGACACTGGCTTTCCCGTCCCAAAACAGCCCCGGTGGGCAGTGGTGCAGACAAGGTACGTGTGGGCATTAGCAAGTACTAACCCACTTCATGGCCTTTAGTCCCTCGTTCCTCTTCTACTTGTTAATCCTTCCAATGGTTCCAGGAATCGGAATCATAAAAGTCCTCACCAAAGGTGCTGCGTGGCTGAGACACACTAATTCACACATTACCACTTTCAATAAACCAGGGAGGGGCAGGGCAGTAGAAAGCATGTGGCATACTAGCCTGGAAACTAGTGGGTCCTGGGCTGGACACAGCCCATATCTCAGTTTAGGCGCCATTGTATACCTGGAGCAAAAACTCTAGGCCGGGGAGAAGTTTGGAGAACAGTCTCCATCACCTTAAGCAGAGGCTCCCGGTGCCCTTTCTTGGCCTAGGGCAGCTCAAGTCCGTGGTGGTTGTGACCATTGTCCCTTCTCCCAGCCACAAGGACTCCAGGTGTGCTTTCCTCTCCTTCCCTTTATTTCTCTTTCCACCCTAAATAAACTTGACATTTTAAACTTTACATTGGTCACTGAAAACACTGGAACCTTATTTCACATTGTTCACTGAAAACACTGGGACTTTTTAAAAAACACTTACAGTTCGCAGTTCTGGATTTATACCTCCCTGCTCCAACTAGACTTTGCTACTGACAGGGTGACAACGTTCAGGATGGCGGCTACAGAGGATGTTGCCCTCACTGCCCAGGGCGGAAGCCCACTTTTTCTCCAGTAGAGTACTTTGCCTCTTGATCATCCAAGCTGCCTAGGGCTGTGAGAGAAAATAACTGATTTCCCCTGGCTTCCCTCCATCACTGGGACTGCAGGTGTTCTGAAAGCCCTTGCCCCTATCTTAGCAAAAATGGATGAGTTTGGTGAACAGAGAAATGTTCTTCTTGCTCACCAACTCTAAATGTGTTTGGGCATCTGGAACTGTCGACCCACACTAGCACAATCTCTTGGATTGTTCCAGATGCCTTCCTGCACCAAGGTGGAGGTGGAAGACCGCGGCATTCAGAGGGGACAGTTGATCCTTCTTCTTGTTGTTGGCAAAGTTCAGTGTCAAAAAGCAAATCACTCCAATGTTGCCTCTCCCTAACGGGCTGGCAGCCCTGAGGCTGCTTCCACAGCGTGTTTGTCAAAGAGGACAGTTTCGCCTTGTGTAAATGCCACACCTGGGCAGCCTTCTTCCATAGCCTGTGTGTGAAGGGATGGTGGGGAACGGGGTCCTAACTGCCACAGGTCCTGGGATTCATTCGCTTCTGCTTTCCATGGAGACATTGCCACAACCTAGCGACCGTCCCCTGCTCTTCCAAGCCCAGAAAGATTGGCAATGGAGTCCCCAGTTCTGTAGAAGCCAAATCCAGGCCTCTTTTCCTTCGGGAGATTTCTCCCTTAAGGCTTCACATATATCCATATGTCTGTATCTATATCTGTAACTATCTATATCTATGAAGTTTTGGTAGACTAAAGCACTACAGGAGGGAAGGAAATCTGTGTCTAGCATGGCCTTCACTGGCACTAAATGCTCTAGACTCCTGGTCTCTTCTTTAGCCACAGAAATCACTCTGTCCGCTCTCGAGAATGCACAATGGGTCCCCCCACACACAGTTCTTACACACACACACACACACACACACACACACACACACCCCTCGTTATTTGACCCTGAGCTCCTGCTTCCTTTGGCCCCAGCAGGCCTGTGGAACCTACCCGCGTCAGGGCTGAAGGGGCTATCTTCGCTCTTGGTGCGCTGAGCCGCGCACCTCACCACACACCACAAGGCACCAGCACCGCACCGCACCGCACCGCACCGCACCGCACCGCGATCTGCGGAGTTTCAGGTGCCAGCATTTGCCCAGCCTGACTAGCGCCAGGATGCAGGAATCTTGAGCCTAAATGATCTCTCCTGAGCTCTGGGAACCATTCCAATCTCTTAAGTCCTCCCGTTCCGTTTCCTTATGATTCCTCAGGTTGCTTTTCTTGTAACATTTTCTCTCCTCGGTTCCAAATCGAAGAAGTTAGGGAATGATTTTTAAAAATTACTGAAATTCTTTCAACAATCATCTATTTTTTCTAAATTTAAGAGAGACGATAAGACTTTCCACACTAGTGTGAGGGGGCAAACTGAACGCCTTTTGAAACCTCTCCAGAAGGACTCACTAAACCACATTAACGGTATGGTTAGAAAAATGAGACTTAATGATTAAAAACTCCCGACAGCGAACTTTGGTACACACTCCCGTCCCAGCCGCCGCCAGCGAACCTGCCCTGCGTATGCGTCTCAACCTCTCAGACCTTTCCTTTGGAGACCCCCCTCCCTTTTCTCCCCTACCTTTCCCTAAACTTGGAAGCAGCTACGAAAGGAAGGGGAGAGAATGTTCAGATCCTCCGTCTAAACGCAGAGGAAGCTGAGACAACCTCCTGGCTGCCTTTTCTTTCCTTCCTTAGGTTCCTCGCGTGTAAGATTTGGTTAGGAAAACTGGGGAGGAGGGTTGGGTGGGACGGTGATGGGTGGGGGTGGGAGGGAAACCCAGGAACTCGGGAGCTGGAGCGGTGAGTGTGTCAATCAGAAGGTTTGTGCCCTGGGGGCTCCTGGCGGTTGTGAGCAGAGGTGTCCCAGGGCGGCCCCAACAATGAATATGAATAGGAATCCTTGCTAAATAGGACAGCAAAGCGCACCGCCTTGAATGATAGCACGTCATCCTAACCAGCCCAGGATAGATAGGAGGGCTCCTTTTGTCTCTTTTCTCCGTCGCAGCTCTATAAAAGCCCCTCTTTTTCAGCATGAGGTTAGTTCAAGCACACACCAGCCTAAGCTGATAGAGAGGAGCGGGGAGGGCGAGAGGCGGGGCGAGGCAGAGCCTTGACTTTTCTTTTCAAGTCTTAACCACTGAGAAGTGGGCTGCTGGGCTGTGCGGATTTTCGTTTTTGTTGTTTGTCGTTGTTGTTGTTGTTGTTGACTTCAGGATTCGCTTTCATTTCCCGCCTAAAGCCTCCCCCTCCCACACAGTAGGGCCGCATCCCCCTGTCATAAAATGAATTCTGATTCGAGCTCTGTCTCCAGCAGAGCTTCATCTCCGGACATGGATGAGGTGTACCTGAGAGAACGCCACCACCGCCACCACCATCACCAGGAGAGCCGTCTCAACTCGGTGTCGTCCACCCAGGGCGACCTGGGGCAGAAGATGCCCGGGGAGAGCCTCTCTCGGGCCGGCGCCAAAGGCGCGGGAGAGAGCAGCAAGTACAAAATCAAGAAGCAGCTGTCGGAGCAGGACCTACAGCAGTTGAGGCTGAAGATCAACGGACGCGAACGCAAGAGGATGCACGACCTGAACCTCGCCATGGACGGGTTGCGCGAGGTCATGCCTTACGCGCACGGGCCCTCGGTGCGCAAGCTCTCCAAGATCGCCACTCTCCTGCTAGCCAGAAACTACATCCTCATGCTCACGAGCTCCCTGGAGGAGATGAAGAGGTTGGTTGGCGAGATCTATGGGGGCCACCACTCTGCCTTCCACTGCGGGACCGTGGGCCACTCGGCCGGCCACCCGGCGCACGCAGCCAACGCCGCCGTGCACCCGGTGCACCCCATCCTGGGCGGCGCGCTCTCCTCCGGCAACGCCTCATCCCCGCTGTCCGCGGCCTCGCTGCCCGCGATCGGCACCATTCGGCCTCCCCACTCCCTGCTCAAGGCGCCCTCCACGCCGCCCGCGCTGCAGCTGGGCAGCGGCTTCCAGCACTGGGCAGGGCTGCCCTGTCCCTGCACCATCTGCCAGATGCCACCGCCGCCGCACCTGTCCGCTCTCTCCACTGCCAACATGGCCCGGTTGTCTGCCGAGTCCAAGGACTTGCTTAAGTGAGCCTCGGGCCCGGCCCGGCGGAGGAGGATGAGGGCGGAGTGGCCGAGGGGCTGCAGTGCCGGGCCGGGAGGAGACGCCGGAGGCTGCGCGCTCAGCCTGCGGGAGGGCGGGCGAGGAGTCCCGGGGAGCTTCCAAGATGGCCTGAGAAATCTCAGATCCCCCTTGGCACCCCCATCCCCCACCACACCTCCACCCCAGCCCTAGAGGCAAAGGACCAAAACCAAACTGCGATTTCTCGGTGGTAGCGAAGGGGACTGGAACCCGACGTCGTGTTTTGCATGCCTGCTTCTTTTCCCATGCCGCGCCAGTATTTCTCACTTGCAGCACGCTCTTGTCAAAACTGCATTTGTTGTATAAAAGATGGGATCGGCGCAGTTAGAAACTTGAGAAGGAACTGTTGAGTTGGTTTTCTCTGGCTCTGTGTGGTCTCATCTTGTAGGGGGGAAAGATGGCCATCCCTTTTGTGCAAAGAAAATGTAAATATTTCCTTGAGATGGATACAATTATCATTGTCTCTGTCTTCTGGTTTTTCTAGAGACAATGCAGAGAGAGAGAGAGAGAGAGAGTGAGAGAGAGAGAGAGAGAAAGAAAGAGAGAGAGAGAGAGGACTCTTAACACCCAAGTTTTGAATCTCAACTCCGGTCCAAGGCATGACACCTTCTGTGTGGGTTTCCTTTCGATGCAGTGTAGGTCAAACGAATGCATGCGCGCTTCTAAATGAATCTTGTCTAAACATGTTGTGCAGGCCGTGGTGCCATTTTCCTTGTAACAAGGATTTATTAGTGATTTCTCCCAGTACTGCATATGTCTGTCTGTGGTTGTATGACACGAAAAGGGGGCAGAGTGCAAAGACTCACACTCACAACGCACACGCGCTTCTCCCCCACCCCCACCCCCTTCAAACTTCATTCCAAATTTCCTGGCAGTTATGGGAGCCAAGATTGCAAAACTCTGGACTCCCGCTAGTAGCCAGCCCCACCCCCCAATTTGCTCAGTAATCCTCCTGCATGCAGGGTTGGCTTTCTCTATTATCAGCTTTGCAATTTCTCGTGGTTTGGGAAGGAGTGCCATTTTTATTTTCCTGAACATTTGCTTGAAATATTTTGTTAAGGCCTCAAAGACAATACCTGTCTTTATTTTTTATATATTCTTGATAATTATGATATATTTATTAATAACCAGTGTTTCTGGATGAGATTTCAAATAAAAAAGAAACTTTAACTCCTGGTTTTGCCTTTGCCTAAAATCTCAGCAGGTAGGGGTGGCAGGATAGGAGACTCTAAAGTGTGTGGGGGCTGAGGAGTTGGATTTGGGGGTGTGTGTATGAAGATTATTTCCCCCCTCTCTGATCATTTACAAATAAAGAAGATGGGTAAATTAGTGCTAATGTTTGTAAGTGAATGTCCTTCAAATGGGATAGCATACATATTCATAGTCATGCTACTTAAGCCACTCATTTCTCTGCAGTAATCATACTTCCATAAATTCAGAGACTGAGATTTAAGAAAAAGTAATGTGGAAAGTCAAACTGAGAGGAAACGAGGTGGAATGATGGCGAGGTCTGGCTGTATTGGAAACACACAGGAATGAAGCAGTAAGTTAACTTCTTTTCTCTTTAAATTGGCTTCATGGTTCTTTCTCTCCCTTCTGTTAAAATCCAGCACATGTTTTAAATGTCAACAAAGAATGGTCTTAGAAAATAATTAAACACTTGCCAGGCGGGCCTGCCTTCGTGAGCAGCAAGCCCTGCAGAGAAAGTAAAGGGCATTGGGCTTTGTAAGTGAACTGGGGGTGGGAAGGGGTGGGGGAGTATTACCACCCCAGCCCCAGTACCTCTCAGAGATTTACTGCCAGAATTCTCCCCACTTTTTCCTCCAGTAGAAGACTGCTGCTGATTAGCCATATATACATGGGGCATCTGTAGTTTAAATATCCACTAAAACAGGGATAATTTAAATAAATTATCTTCCTTTCTTCACTTTTCCCAGCTCCCCACATCCCTGCCCACATAACAGTTCCAAAAGGTTTGTACAGACCAAAACAATCCAGTGGTGTTTTGTTTAAGGACATTTTTATTTATATTTTTAAAGTGAGCTCTAACTGCTTGTGCCTCTATTTCCTACTGAGGAAATGTACCCCTGTTGGAAAAGTGACACCCCAGAATTTGCTTCTGAATCAGAAGATGAGACCCTGGCTACTGCTGGTGGGGGCCTAAGGTCTCTTTCTAGGATCCAGCTGCCAGAAGGCACTGAGGAAACTCTTGTCCTTCCTGTCCTGGGTTCCTGTGACCCCCTTTCCCTGGGAGGTACTTCACTGGAACCCTCTTCTGCCCAGCTAGCTCCTCTCCATCCCTTTTGGCTATCCCAGCCCCCATCCAGGGAGAGAGACTGAACTGAGGGTCTCCAATGTTAGGGGCTTGTTTTTACTGGGTGTGTAGGCAGACAAATGGGGGAATAATCATCTGTTTCCCAAGTGTGATTCATTTCTCTGGGCGAGGAAAAGAGCCTGTTGAGGATTTATTTGAAACCAACACAAGGCAGCCCTCCAGCCTTTCCACAGTTTATTATTTAGAAAGGGGAGGGGAGGGAAAGTTTCATCCATCAGGGAAACGACTTTCTCCTGAGTTCCTTTTCAAAAGGCTTAGCCCAGGGAAGACTCACAGCCGTCCAACTGACCCAGAGCGTTCTTCTCCACAGCTAAGCTTAACCTGGGGAGCAGGAAAGGAATAAAGATACCATTGGTCCAAGCCAGGGGGTACACTAACTTTCGATTGATCCATTTAAAATCTATGAGGTTACCTCTTTATGAGGGGCGGGACTGAACTAAAAGAATTGCAACCCCAGACAGAGCTCTTACCCAAGTTCACCAACTAGGAATCAAAACTGAAGAGAGCCTCCAAGCAGTTTGGGGTGGGGGTGGGGGTTGCAAAACTTCCTATCCACCCCAGGTTGGGAGGCAAGATTTCTTTAAGAATAGGACAGAGAGCACCGAAGGCTATTTGGGGGGTCAGCTCTCCTGCGGTTTCTAGATTCATTTGAAAGAAAGAACAATCACTAGGGGCCTTCCAGTGAAGGTCTTGTGGTGGTGTTAGTGTTGGTTCCCTGGGGATGGGAGTTTGCAGGCAGACCCTTACTTCCATGCTTTTTCTGGTTAAATTCTCCCATTCTCCACACTACAAACGAGAGTACTCAGCCACAGAGGTGAAATGCTTCTTGGCTGAAGTGTTATTTTCTTTCTTTGTAAATTGACCATTTTCTCCAAGGCTCAAAGATTGAAAGTCGTTTTTAAAAATAAAATCCAGACATAAAGCAAGGATTCTTTCATTCCTTCGCTCAGAAGCAGAGTGCCTGCCTACCGGCTGGGTAGGCGTCTGTATTTGAATTCCAGTAGAACGAAAAAGAAGAACAGGTAAAGGAAACTACTTAAAGGAGTAGCGAAAGCCTCGGGAGCAGAGAGATCCCTGAAGAAGCTCAGGTTAGAAAGCTCTTGCACTTCAACTGGGAAGAAAGTCACTCGTAGAGAGGGTAAGTGAGGCCGCTGTGTGCTTCAGATCTCTGCTCCTGGGGGGCCAGCTTTTCCAGACTCGGGGGGCTTGGCTTCACATGCCACAGAAGGACGGGGAGACTCAGCCTAAACTGGGGAAGTTTCCTAGCAGGAAGTCCTACACGTGTCCCTCCAATTCCCTTTCTCCACAAGAAAAGGTGGCCTCTACGGATGCCCTCAGCAGACACTACAAAAGCCCCTCCCGCCCGGGAGGCTCGCGCACCCCGCACACCAGGAGACTGTGGCTGTGGCTTGGGGGACCCTCCCTCCTCCCATCCCAACCCGCTGGCGTTAAGTAAGGGTGGACTCCCCCCGCCCCCCGCCTTGGCACGTAGATAGGTCATTGTGAGCCCCCCCTCAGCGGCCGGTGGTGGGCACCCGGGACTAGCCTGGCCACCGGGGCAGGGCAGGACCCCACCATTCCAAAAAGCCTTTTTGGAGAGTGGCATTCCACTTCTCTGAATGGCCTCTGGGCTGCCACTTGTCCTGAGGCGGTCTGTCTGCGCCCTCTAGATCTTAGCGAACCCCAACATCTCGCCTTCTAGAACAGGCGAGCAGCGACAAGAAGTCCAGTTCGGGAACCGATCCCCCACCGAGGGTGCAGAATTTGAGTCCCTGCTCGGGCCAGGCCCCACGGCCTTAGGGAACAGAGGGAGGGAGGAGGCACCACAAAAGGCTCTGGAGACGCAAAGATCTAGGCCCCAAGAGAGGCCCTGGGTTGGGGGACAGGCACCGGCACCCGCCTCCTGGCTGGTGTTCCCCGAGGTTTTGCCCCCGGAGTGCCGAAGTTTTGCGAACTCTCCCCTGCAGCCCGGCGACTGCCAGCCCGGCCGCGCGGCGCGGAGCTGGGGGAGGTGGCTGCGGGCCACGCGGAGCGCAGAGCCGGGAGCAGGCGGGCTCCGCTCAGCTCTTCCCCCGCCACCCGCCCCCCCTCCCCGCCGGCCAGCCCTGGCTGGAAGCGGCGAGCCCAGGTTCAGCACGGTGCCAACCCAGGGGTCGGGAGGGGGCGGGTGGCGGCTGAGGTCCGTGGGAAGCGCCTGCCACGGCGCCCCAAGACCGACCCCCGACCTCTTCGGAGTTCGGGGGGGGGGGGCGCCAGGCAGATAGGGAGGCGCGGCCTAGCTCAGAGCGAGTTGCGCGGGACAGAGTACCACTGAGGCCAGCCCGTGCGCGACTGCCATCCAGGCCCTCCAAGAACCCCGGAATCCTTCAGCGTTCCTGGAAACTGACAGCAGAGCTGGACTGGGGCTGACCCTTTCCGCAAGGGTCCCCGTGGCCAAGTGGGCGCCAGGATGTGTGTGTGTGTGTGTGTGTGTGTGTGTGTGTGTGTGTGTGTGTGTGTGAGCGTTTTGTAGACCTTGCTAAGGTTCGTTCACCTTTCCTCCCCGGGACCTCACCGAGGAACCAGCATCCCCAAGATGATCCGAGTGGCGGCCCCTAGCCGGGTGTCACCGCTT